GGTCAGCTACAGGTAAACCCACTGCTCCAGTGACTCCACTGGTCAGTGAGTTGCGGTCAGAGGTGCAGCACAACATTTATGGCCATTCCTGGTTTCCACATCTCCAGATGCACACCGATGCTGTCTTTGAAAAGAGAATCATTGACAGCACATGTGTGGTTCTGTTCATGCTACAAGAGATATGCGCTGGTCTGCTTCAGGTGATCATATCGCCCCTCATGTTGTGCTTTTTAGAGGATGTAGAAGCTATTTGCAGACTTAGCTAAAACACTGTGGGATTAATCCCCAAACACAACATCTGGAGAATGAAGACCTTCTAACTGTGTTTACATGTAGCTACCAACCAAAGCACCTCCAACGTCCTGCAGCAGCCACTTCAATTACAACTCTTAATAGTGTGAAGATGATGGAGCATTTCCTGGCATAGTTTTAGATTCACATCGACGTTCACAATCGATGTGGGCAGATCACAAATTTACGTCATGCATACCCTTGCGGTCTTGTGGAAAGCAAGAGTTGGTTTTTACTCCAATGGAAGTCACATGATCAACCTTTACATCTTACGCTGCATGTAGAATTCAAAGTGTACTGGTTCAGAGACACCAGAATGATCTTGGACTGGCTTTGCAAGAACAAAAAAAGTTTAGTGAGTTAGCTGATTGGTGAGTCTTCGTGCCTGCTATCAGTCCCATCTGCTTTGAGATGGCAGATCAACATCAAGCGAGCAGAACAAGAGCCCCTGCCCTCTCACCTCTAGATCCTCTCTGTGTGATCGGTCTCTGTCCTCAAAGTCTCTGGTTCTGCGTCGAGCCTCTTCGAACGCCGCCTGGGCCAGAGCGTCCTCATGCTGCACAAAGACACAGTAAACATGCACTTAGCTTTTACACGATTTAGAAATCCCAGGGTTGTAAAAACAGAGCAATAAAAAGTAGAATAGTTATTTAATGCTGTAAAACAAGAGACGACAACAGCAGTGTCAGTGGGTGAGAGGACGAGCGGTACCTGCGCCCTCTCATCGTCATACTCCAGATAGCCCATCCCATCCAGCCTCTGCAGGTCGATCCAGCCTCTCCAGATCACACACACGCCATTCAAGATCATAGGCGCCTTTAAATAGACCTGCAAACACACATGGACATTAACGTCAGTCGCTTCTCGCTGAACATGAGTCTTGTAGCATTTGTTCTCTTCAGTTGGCTGCATGTTGGTCGTATTTCTCATCAGTCTTGTTCAGTAGATCTCAGATGTTAGGCTCATATGGCAGCAAGTCATGTTGAAACCCAGTATCATAAAAAATACTGAGGTCTGACACAAGGATCCATCCTCTCATGACTCTGGCAAAACACCACTCAATGGGTATTGACTGTAGTTCAGCCGTAGGCAGCAGCAGCAGCTTCATACGGCCGAGATATTCATGCAAAATAGTAGTTCCTAAATCAGAACCCATCAGCTGTTTCTCCAGAATATAAAAAGCTCTGTGTTTGGGAGATAGAGGCCTCTCTCTGCACCTCCCCCCGCTGTGGAGCACACAAACCACCAACTACGTCAGAACCTCTCCAGTACAACTGAGTGCTGGACTAGAAAGCGACACAAACACCCACACTGACGGCCATTTACATATATATGCATGTTCACAACCGCTGAGGTCAGTTTATCACGTATGTGTGCGCGCGTCGTCATTAGCTCCCGTAAAGACAAAATGATCTGAAGTACATCACGTCCAAAACCCTTTTCTTGTGTGTTTTATGATCTTGTGAGCATTGCTCAACGCTTTTGTTCTCACACTGTCCATTAAAATATGACTTTGTGGTCTTTTGTTCTGGGATCATTACCTCAGCCTGCACAGCTTTCAGGCCTTCCTTCACTTATTTATTCATTGAAGATAAATGCCAATGCCGCCTCAGGTCTCACATATCTCCCGTTAAGCCAGATAGGAACAAAAAAAGTCTGTGCATGTCTGTCTGTTTGACCTTGTGTTGGATCTGTTTTGTCTGTCTGTGAATGAGAGAGAAGGCCAGCAGTGCTAGTGTCGGGACTAGAAGAGCTTCCTTTTCTTTCACTCGCCCCCTTTTCTCTTGGTGCATCCTGAGCAGCACAGTAAAGCCAGTCTGCAACACCAGACAGCCAGACGGGGAGGCTCAGGCCTTGTGCTTCCTGGTTGTATTACCATGGCTCAGTGCCAGGAGGGCAGCAAAGCAACCACCAAATATATGTGTGTGTTTGCATGAGGTGAGGGAATGTGCACATCTGCAGGACCACGGAGACTTTCTCTGTTTGGATTTGCTGGACCGGGTCAGCTGCAGGAGGAAAACCAAGCTGCTGAAGACATGTTAAGAGCTGAGAGACGTTTTAGATGTTAGTTTGCAAAACGAGAAAAAACTATTCAAGTAGTTCAACTGAACCTTTTGTCAAACTGTGTTTGGAACGCAGGAGCGTGTGGAAACACGATGTTCACAAATAATATATTATATATAAGTTATCGCCTCAGAAAATGAATCAATTCCAAACCAACACTGGGAGGAATGCAAATAGAAGTTCACAAAGACTGCAGCTTCGTTAAATACAACCTGATGGTGATAACGACATGCTGATGGAAGGCAGGTTTGTTGCCAATTAATCGATGTGGTTCAGGCAAGCATGCAGTAGTTTGAATGGCACAAACCAAGTTTCCTGATTTAATGGTCACAGCTCGTACATTTTGCAGCATGTCTGACTCAGAGCTGTTTGGATTTACAAACTCTAACCCCAGTCCCACTTCTGAGGGTTTCCTCATGAGACAAGGCTCCATAGCAAGTCTAGAGTCCATTACACAGTTCATAGTGAACTGAAGCTTCACTTTAAAAACAAATTGTAATACCGATCAGAAAACCATCAGTGACAGCGTAATGCACAACACCGTGCTGCATCAGTGACACGGCTAGTTTCACTCCTTCAGCTCTGATATGGTCTCCAAGAACCACTGGCATGAAAATCAGATGCTTCACTTTGTTCACCAGCTCG